CGCCTGGAGTAGTGTGAGAGGAAGAGGTAAATATTATCAGCTAGTCGGAGATTGTATTAGATCCAAGAACACTGTTTTTTTCCGTTAGAATGCGCTCTTTTCAAGTAGGAATGTAACCCGTGCCAAGCAGTGACCTGGGTTCTCCAGCACATGATTGAGCAGCCAGCAAGACCACACAGGATCAGGTTCCCCGACCTCCTCGGGAAGTTCGAGTATGGTGTAGAGTGACCCGGTTTATTTTAAGAAAACCCCGCTTTCCCATTACTGGCGGGGCAGGCCGGTGGGAGAAATTAACATTATTTCCTTTCAAGTAAATAGATCGTTAAACGAACATCTTAGAATCAGTTGGATAGGGAAAGGAAGAGGGAGAAGACCACTTTAATATCAGTGAATTGTAACCGTTGCTAGTACTAGTATGTAAATCCTAAGCAGGAACATGTCATACTATGTTTTCTTTCATTATTTCACACTGATCTTTGAATCTATCTGCTAAAATATGTACTGTTAGAAGGTTTTGCAGAAAATAAGTAATGGAATATAGCTGTCAAATTAATTCCCAAAATACTATGTCATTCTTGTCATAATTAATATTATGGGAGCAGAAAACCCAGCGATTTATGTACAAGTTGCTTTTCAGTAAAGTGTAACAGTTTATTGCCGAATGCACCTAATGTACTTGAGAGCAGCTAATTGTAGCTTGGTCGGGTGTGGGGTGAACGTTTGACAAGATATGTGTATTATTTGGAGCTCGTATATACGGCCACAGCAGGCGGTTGTATGCCCGCTTCGATTTAGGTCGTTTTCGCGCAGCCAAAGAAAATGGGAAGTTGTGTATACCTTTCATTTTCTATTTTGTAACTTTTTTGTCTGTTGAATATTGAAGGATTTAATGTGTATTGTACTGATAAAAGGGGATCCTGTTTGATATTGCATTACTGCTGTTTTGATTTATTTTAATAAGGCAGATTTAATTCACTGCCAACACGTGGCACTAACAACACATTTGGCCGGTGCAATAAATTGCTCAAGAATGTTTGGCACTTACGAGAACGCCTGAGTGCCAACTGGGTCGCCACATTATCTTCATGTTTGTCTGCATCGGTGTTGTGCGTAGAAAACGCAACTCGCAAAGAAAACGCCACGGAGGATGAAAGAAAATGGAGTGGAGGCTGATTCAGAGAAAACGTATAAGAGAAAACTTGTTTACGCGCTTCCCATTTTCTATATTGTAAACTCGGTCCAAGTGTTGTAGAGAGCATGGGTAATAATAAAACGGAAGGCAATCCGACAGCTGGCGGCCAGCATATTTAAAGGTGGCTATTAAAGGGAAGACCTTTAGTAGGAAGTATGCAATTGCGCATTTTCTTTTATTTTTCCTTCGTCTATATAACTGAATTTCTACCATATCGTCAGGAATTTCGCCTGTATTCCCGGTGCCTTTGCTCAGGCGGGGGGCTCTGCCGTGTGTTTGTGTCTGCTCTTGTTTGTTTTAGCTGTGTGTGTGTATGCGTCTTGTGTGTTTTCTGGTGGGCGTGTGTTGAGCTGACGAGGGCTGCGGGGTGTGACGTCACCGGTTGCGTTGTCTCCATGGCGTCATGTGATCCGGGGGATCTTTTCACACAAGAGGGGATTTTGGCGTTAAGTAACTCCTTTATTGCGGCCTATGTGGGGTCTTGGCGGTACTCGTGTTGCTTTACCTTTCTGTCGGTTAGCCGCTTTACAACTTCAACATCTAACTGTCGATCGGTCTCGGTAGGCATTGCACGGTTTCTTGGTTTAAGACTTCACCTCGTTCTTTTTGACAGCGGGACCTGCTTGTCTTTCTCTTTTTTCTTCATACCCTCTGTGTCTTGACTTAGCACTCGGTCTTGTGATCCCTGGCGACCAACTCTGAAGGCCCTGCGCCTACTACCCCCCCCCCCCTCTTGACGGCATTATCTTCTCCTAGGCTCCCTCACCCATCGACTTCCGGCTCCCTTCCTGCCCTCCCCCGTCTTGGGGAAACCTTCTAATTAGAGTTGACCTGATGTGACCTGATTTATCGTTCTTTGATGCCATTTCCTGAGCACCCTCTACCCTCTTTCCCTCCTCTCCCTCCCTCTCTCCCCCTCCCCCCCTCCCCTTTCCCTCTTTCCTTTCTCCCCACTCTCCCTCCCTTCTTACTTTTCCCTTCTCCCTACTTCCTTTTCCTCCCCTGCTTCCCTCCATCCTCTTGGTTCTCCTTTGTTTGCTTCCTTTCTCCCTCCTCGCTATTTCTTTTTCTTCCCTTCCATCCCTCCTCCCCTTCCCTTCCCTTCCATCCCTCCTCCCCTTCCCTTCCCTTCCCTTCCATCCCTCCTCCCCTTCCCTTCCCTTCCATCCTTCCTTTCCCTCCCTCCCCTTCCATCCTTCCTTTCCTTCCCTCCCCTTCCATCCTTCCTTTCCTTCCCTTCCCTTCTTTCCCTTCCCTTCCTTCCCTTCTTTCCCTTCCTTCCCTTCCCTCCCTTCCCTTCCTTCCCTTCCCTTCCTTCCCTTCCCTTCCTTCCCTTCTTTCCCGTCCCTCCTGGCTCCCTCCATCCCACGGGCGCGCACAGCTGTCGCGTTCTCAAGACTGGTGACGGAAGCCGCTGCCAGGTGTTAATTACCAGCACGGTTGCCGCCGTTACCTTGGCGCGGGTCGAGGGAAGCGACGGTTTGATGCGCGCCCTTCGTTCCGGGAATCATTCGTGCAAATGGGGTTATAGGAGCTGAGAAACCCGCCTTGCCTGCCCTTCTCTGTCTCCTCCTCCTTCTTCTTCTATTCTCTTCCCTCTTCTATTCTCCTCTTTCTTCTCTTCCCTTCTCGTCTCTTTCTTTTTCCTTCTCTCCCGTTCCTTCTTTTCTCTTCTCTCCTCTTCTCTCTTCTCTTCTCTCCTCTTTCTTCTCTTCTCTTCTCTCCTCTTTCTTCTCTTCTCTTCTCTCCTCTCTTTTCTTCTCTTCTCTTCTCTCCTCTCTTTTCTTCTCTTCTCTCCTCTCTTTTCTTCTTTTCTCTTCTCTCCTCTCTTTTCTTCTTTTCTCTTCTCTCCTCTCTTTTCTTCTTTTCTCTTCTCTCCTCTCTTTTCTTCTTTTCTCTTCTCTCCTCTCTTTTCTTCTTTTCTCTTCTCTCCTCTCTTTTCTTCTCTTCTCTTCTCTCCTCTCTTTTCTTCTTTTCTCTTCTCTCCTCTCTTTTCTTCTCTTCTCTTCTCTCCTCTCTTTTCTTCTCTTCTCTTCTCTCCTCTCTTTTCTTCTCTTCTCTTCTCTCCTCTCTTTTCTTCTCTTCTCTTCTCTCCTCTCTTTTCTTCTCTTCTATTCTCTTCTCTTTTCTTCTCTTCTCTTTTCTTCTCTTTTCTCTTTTCTTTTCTCTTCTCTCCTTTCCCTTCTTCTCTTCTTTTCTCTTCTCTCCTCTTTTCTCTCCTCCCTTCTTTTCTCTCCTCCCTTCTTTTCTCTCCTCCCTTCTTTTCTCTCCTCCCTTCTTTTCTCTCCTCCCTTCTTTTCTCTCCTCCCTTCTTTTCTCTCCTCCCTTCTTTTCTCTCCTCCCTTCTTTTCTCTCCTCCCTTCTTTTCTCTCCTCTCTTCTTTTCTCTCCTCCCTTCTTTTCTCTCTCTCTCTCTCTCTTCTTTTCTCTCTCTCTTCTATTCTCTCTCTCTCTCTCTCTCTCTCTCTCTCTCTCTCTCTCTCTCTCTTTCATTCTTTCGCTTGCTTCTTTGCTTCGTTTCTTGCCTTCCTTCCTCCTCCTTTTCTTTTCTTTTCTTTCCGTCCCACTTTTGTTTCTCTTCACCTGCCTTTTATTTATTGCTTGCAAACACTCGGATAGATGTCATAAAAAGGTCCCGTGATCCAGAGGTGACTTGTGACGTCATTTTCGTCCCGTGAGAAGGGAAAGGGTCTTGGCAATGTGTCCATTATCCTTTTAATCGGATTCAATGCATTGGTTTCTTTATCGCACTGGCGCCGGCCGTTCATCGTTATGCCGACGTGCACCTCCGCACACCTCGGCCCGTGCACCTGTAAGGCGAGACAGCCATTGCTGATAGGGTGACTTACTTACCCCCTACTTCGCCCCGGTATCCGTTCCCCGCGGCGCCAGAACTGACTCATGCGTGCGGTCCCCATACTTGATATTCCTGCCTCGCCCTGTCCATTGGCTGTTTTCCCAGGCAGGCGCGCGTCGTTTTTTTTTTTCCTTGTCGGGCTGATTTTGATTATTGTTTGGCCTTCGCGTGCATTTTATAGAGGGTGTTTGCCAGCGAGCGGTACACCTGGCTGAGGTTTCCAGGCCTAGACTTGCCCTACAGCCGAGGAGACGCCGCCTTCTCGTGTTACTGCAAAGGCTTTATGCAACTGTGGCGCCGTCACGGTGTAGGAGCAGGTAGGCCCGCCCCCTCCGTCTGGATCTTGCCGTTACTGAAGGTATGCTGTTTAAACACAAATATCTTAATGTACTGGAAGTACGATAGGTTTTAAATAATATAGAAGTTTACGAGGCGCAGAAAGTATATACAAGGAGATTGCCAAGACATGCGATGTCAAAGATAATTGCGACGCATTGAGTTGCACTTACGTAAGATACGACGTTGCCTCACCTAGAACCTGTCGGTCGGAAGCACCGGAACTAATTCCCTGTTTCGCCCGTGGCCAGTCCTTCTTAAGGCCAGAGCACCGGTTACTGGCTTTTAGAAGTGTCTGACGTGTGCCTGTGGCAACCTCTTGTCGGCCGTTGCAGGCTGGGCGGCCTATGATTGAAACAAGTTAACATGAATCGGTTGTCATTGTGTCGCACTTCATAAGACGTTTGATTGGCCGAGGACCAGTCATGTGAGCACAGGTCTAAACGCGTGAATTTCGATGACTTTTCACTGACAATTTTCTTAAGAAAATAGTGATATGAACTGAGAGTACAAGACGAGAACTGTTATTTGAGAAACCTTTATATATTTTGTTGTGGTTTATCTTGGCGTGAGCTGAACTGGCAGTATTAACTAGAAGGCTCATAAGTGTGTAACAATGGTCGGTGTTACGTATCAGCAGCACACACACCCGGCGCAGTGCCAGTATTGTGCCTTCTGGTCCATCCACCGCTTCGGCACCTCGCCCAGGACCCCCAAGACTGGTAAGACGCCCAGGACGCCAAAAACGCCGAAAGGAATCCTGAAATGCAAGCACTTTTTCCCAACCGACGAGAACGGCGGCGCAGCTGCGAAGGACAAACTTTGCAAGAGTTCCAAGCATAAGGATAAGGACAGGGACAAGGACAAAGATAAAGATAAGAGCAAGTTGCACAGGTCGCATTCGGGCAAAAGCAAGAGTAGGGCTAAGGATGCGGCCAAAGCAGAGGCAGCTGCAGCCAAGGCCGAGGCTAAGGCCGAGGCGAAGGCTGAGGCCAGGGCCGAGGCCGAGAAGGTTGAGGCGCAGGCCAAGGAAGCAGCCGCAGCGGCGGCGGCTGAGCCTGGAGCCGCGCCCAAGGAGGATGTGAAGCCAGGCACCTCGGAGAAGGAGCCTGCCAAGGCAGAGGCTATCTCTGCAGACGCCGCCAAGGCAGACGATGCGGCCAAAGAAGCTGATAAGGCCGATGGGTCTGTGAAGGAAGGCGAGAAGCCTGATGCCTCGGCCAAAGAGCCAGAGGCGTCAGAGGCCCAGAAGCTGGAAGCCAAACCGGACGAAATTGGAAAGATGGAGGAAGCCATCATCGCTGCCCTGGGGAAGGACGCTAAGGACCAGCTCGTCCCTTTAGGAAAGCCCACGGAAAGTGTGCCATCCTCTGAGCAGAAGGAAGAGCCCAAAGAAGGTGCAAAGGAAGCCGAGAAGGTGAGCGCCCAGGAAGCCGGCAAGGAAGGTGCCAAGGAAGCGGAGAAAGCCAGCGTCCAGGAAGGCGAGAAGGAAGCGGCCGAAGAAGCAGAAAAGGTAAGCGTTCAGGAGGCTGATAAGGAAGGCGGCGCCAAGGAAGCCGGGAAGGAAAGCGAGAGGGAAGCCGAGAAGAAGGGCGCCAAGGAAGGTGGTAAGGAAAGCGCCAAAGCGGCCGAGAAGGGCGGTGTTAAGGAAGCCGATAAGGTGAGCGCCCAGGAAGCCGGCAAGGAAGGTGCCAAGGAAGCGGAGAAAGCCAGCGTCCAGGAAGGCGAGAAGCCTGATGCCTCGGCCAAAGAGCCAGAGGCGTCAGAGGCCCAGAAGCTGGAAGCCAAACCGGACGAAATTGGAAAGATGGAGGAAGCCATCATCGCTGCCCTGGGGAAGGACGCTAAGGACCAGCTCGTCCCTTTAGGAAAGCCCACGGAAAGTGTGCCATCCTCTGAGCAGAAGGAAGAGCCCAAAGAAGGTGCAAAGGAAGCCGAGAAGGTGAGCGCCCAGGAAGCCGGCAAGGAAGGTGCCAAGGAAGCGGAGAAAGCCAGCGTCCAGGAAGGCGAGAAGCCTGATGCCTCGGCCAAAGAGCCAGAGGCGTCAGAGGCCCAGAAGCTGGAAGCCAAACCGGACGAAATTGGAAAGATGGAGGAAGCCATCATCGCTGCCCTGGGGAAGGACGCTAAGGACCAGCTCGTCCCTTTAGGAAAGCCCACGGAAAGTGTGCCATCCTCTGAGCAGAAGGAAGAGCCCAAAGAAGGTGCAAAGGAAGCCGAGAAGGTGAGCGCCCAGGAAGCCGGCAAGGAAGGTGCCAAGGAAGCGGAGAAAGCCAGCGTCCAGGAAGGCGAGAAGCCTGATGCCTCGGCCAAAGAGCCAGAGGCGTCAGAGGCCCAGAAGCTGGAAGCCAAACCGGACGAAATTGGAAAGATGGAGGAAGCCATCATCGCTGCCCTGGGGAAGGACGCTAAGGACCAGCTCGTCCCTTTAGGAAAGCCCACGGAAAGTGTGCCATCCTCTGAGCAGAAGGAAGAGCCCAAAGAAGGTGCAAAGGAAGCCGAGAAGGTGAGCGCCCAGGAAGCCGGCAAGGAAGGTGCCAAGGAAGCGGAGAAAGCCAGCGTCCAGGAAGGCGAGAAGCCTGATGCCTCGGCCAAAGAGCCAGAGGCGTCAGAGGCCCAGAAGCTGGAAGCCAAACCGGACGAAATTGGAAAGATGGAGGAAGCCATCATCGCTGCCCTGGGGAAGGACGCTAAGGACCAGCTCGTCCCTTTAGGAAAGCCCACGGAAAGTGTGCCATCCTCTGAGCAGAAGGAAGAGCCCAAAGAAGGTGCAAAGGAAGCCGAGAAGGTGAGCGCCCAGGAAGCCGGCAAGGAAGGTGCCAAGGAAGCGGAGAAAGCCAGCGTCCAGGAAGGCGAGAAGCCTGATGCCTCGGCCAAAGAGCCAGAGGCGTCAGAGGCCCAGAAGCTGGAAGCCAAACCGGACGAAATTGGAAAGATGGAGGAAGCCATCATCGCTGCCCTGGGGAAGGACGCTAAGGACCAGCTCGTCCCTTTAGGAAAGCCCACGGAAAGTGTGCCATCCTCTGAGCAGAAGGAAGAGCCCAAAGAAGGTGCAAAGGAAGCCGAGAAGGTGAGCGCCCAGGAAGCCGGCAAGGAAGGTGCCAAGGAAGCGGAGAAAGCCAGCGTCCAGGAAGGCGAGAAGCCTGATGCCTCGGCCAAAGAGCCAGAGGCGTCAGAGGCCCAGAAGCTGGAAGCCAAACCGGACGAAATTGGAAAGATGGAGGAAGCCATCATCGCTGCCCTGGGGAAGGACGCTAAGGACCAGCTCGTCCCTTTAGGAAAGCCCACGGAAAGTGTGCCATCCTCTGAGCAGAAGGAAGAGCCCAAAGAAGGTGCAAAGGAAGCCGAGAAGGTGAGCGCCCAGGAAGCCGGCAAGGAAGGTGCCAAGGAAGCGGAGAAAGCCAGCGTCCAGGAAGGCGAGAAGCCTGATGCCTCGGCCAAAGAGCCAGAGGCGTCAGAGGCCCAGAAGCTGGAAGCCAAACCGGACGAAATTGGAAAGATGGAGGAAGCCATCATCGCTGCCCTGGGGAAGGACGCTAAGGACCAGCTCGTCCCTTTAGGAAAGCCCACGGAAAGTGTGCCATCCTCTGAGCAGAAGGAAGAGCCCAAAGAAGGTGCAAAGGAAGCCGAGAAGGTGAGCGCCCAGGAAGCCGGCAAGGAAGGTGCCAAGGAAGCGGAGAAAGCCAGCGTCCAGGAAGGCGAGAAGGAAGCGGCCGAAGAAGCAGAAAAGGTAAGCGTTCAGGAGGCTGATAAGGAAGGCGGCGCCAAGGAAGCCGGGAAGGAAAGCGAGAGGGAAGCCGAGAAGAAGGGCGCCAAGGAAGGTGGTAAGGAAAGCGCCAAAGCGGCCGAGAAGGGCGGTGTTAAGGAAGCCGATAAGGATAGCGTTAAGGAAACCGACAAGCAAGCCGAGCCAGGGGTAAGCTCTGAGTTGAGGCTTGGCGCGATGGCTCTTGCTAGATGGCTTTTTTCTGTTCATTGTTGTGAGAGGGAGAGTGAGGGAAGGTGTGAGATAGTGAGTGAGAGAGTGAAAGTGAGATAGTGAGTGAGAGAGTGAAGAGTAAAAGTGAACATAACTTGAGAGAGAGAGAGAATGTTTTTTTTTACCAGGTCATTATCTAATACCAGATGTTGGTCACTGTAAACACGTTTCCGGATTTAAGAGATAGCGAGTTCCTACAGTAGAAGTCTTAGTTCAACTTTTACAAGACCAGTTCCTGAGAAGCCTATTCCCCCCCCCCCCCTGCTCTTTCCCTCACTGGCGCTAGGCCTAAGTCTATTTTAGCGCTTCTTCCCACGACATTCTTAAGAGCCTCTCCGTGCCGCCTTCTACGCGCGCGATTGAAGACATCCCGCATTCCGCCAGCGTTTTTATTTCGTTTTATTTCGGTACGTTCCTTCGTTGTATTCTCGCTCTTACTAATACCGAGTGTCGCGGGCCTCCCTTCTCCTACCCCCCCCCCCTCTCCCTCTCTCCCCTTCTACCCCCTCCTACCCCCTCCTACCCCCTCCTACCCCCTCCTACCTCCTACCTTCTCCCCCCACCTCTCCTCCACCCTCTCTCCCATCCGTCTTAGATCTCGGGCGTTGCGATTTGTTAGAGGATGACAGTTCAGGAAGAAGTGTATGCCGTGTCGGTCCACTATGCAGCGAGCTTTTGGCATTAGGGCTCGGGTTTCCCACCGCCCTGAAATGCCGCTGAAAATGTCCGGTTTTCTGGTTTGTGTGCGCGCAAAGGTGTTGATAAAGTGCGACAGGTAGTGATTGTGGGTGTTTGCTTACTTAAGGCTTTTTTCTATTTTTTTCTCACTTTTTTTATCGTACAAAAAAATATATCTGTTGGCGTGTTATGTTTTTTGTTCTGTTTTTTCTTCTTTTTTTACCTAATTTTCCTGATTGTCAGTCTGAATATCGCTCAAGCGTATAAGGGGAAAACAAAGAGAGAGAAAAAAGAAAGGACAATAAAAAGAGCGGAAAGGGAAGAGAGGAGATAGTCATACGCAATTGGATCTGTCATGTTTCATTGCCAATAGTTAATTGCTCAACCGCTTGTCGTGATTTTATTTGGAATGGAAGGAAATGCTCTGTTGATAGTAAACAGATTAGTTGTTTACTCCGGTATTACTGGCGAGACTTTTCCAATTTGTAACATCGTTTGTTTCTTGTCCTCTCCTCTTGCAGCAGCTCCACTTCCTCCTCCTCCTTCTCCTTCTCATTTTCATCTCTTTCTCTTTCTCCTCCTTCGCATCCTCCTTCTCCGCCCTCCTAACGGAATGAGCGAAGTCAATGAAGTGAGAGTGCAAATATTGGTAGCTAAACAGATACTACCCGAAGAGTAGGGCGAAGTCACGTGTGTATATAAACAGTAAAATAAAATCCAGACTTTAGAAAAAAAAGACGTTTCATTAATTATCCATCGAGGACTTATGAATGAAAGTGCTATACATTACCGCTCAGTGCTGGACAATGCGGTGTACTTTTTATGGGTCATGCGGCGACAGGCGCTATTGCCCGCTCCTTGCTTACCACCTGGCAGGCAAACAGGAATGCGTATTCCCTTCGACCTGCAACAAGTCCTCATTTTGGACGACTTCTCACGTAGTCATTTTTCGGCCTTGTAGTTAATGGCTTTATTTTTGACGCGCAGATCTGAATTTGGACGTCGCGGCCGCCCACGAGTCGCCTGCGGCAGCCTCTATCTCCCTCCTTGTGATCTCGCCCTCGCCTATGGGTGCCTCGCCGGGCTCCCCTCTCCCCTCCCCCTGCCCTAGCCGTGTGCTCTCTCGGCCGGTGATCCTCCCCTCCCCTACCCCCCCCCCCTCTCTCTCTCTCTCTCTCTCTCTCTCTCTCTCTCTCTCTCTCTCTCTCTCTCTCTCTCTCTCTCTCTCTCTCTCTCTCTCTCTCTCTCTGACACACACACACACACACACACACACACACACACACACACACACACACACACACACACACAGACTTCCCCCTTTCCCCCTCTACCCCCCTCTTCCCTCCTCCTCTACCCCCTCTTCCTCCCTCCTCTACCTCCTTCCTCACCCCTGCCCCCATCGTGCTGCATTTTCTCCCTGCTCCCACTCGACTTCAATTATATGTGCCATGTTCACCGCGCAATACCCCTCTTCCTTTACCTGCCACCTCTCCCCTCCCTCTTTTCCCCTCTTCCCCCTCTTCCCTTCACCTCTTCCCCCTCTTCCCTTCCCTTTTCTGTTCCTTTTCCTTTCTCCCTCCGCTTTGTCTTTCCCATCTCCCCTCACCCTTCTCCCGTTATTTGCGTACCATCTCTGTTATCTTTGTTCCCCTCGTGTGACGCAAGACGCCCCTTTCAGCATGTACCTCGGTGCCCTAGCGTGCCGTGCGCATAAATACTCTTGAATGAGGCCTTGCACTTGGCCATGACTTCGCACAAAGGATAGAATTTTGGCCGAACAGTTAACTAATCGCAAGTATTATATGCTGACTCACCGGCTTGCTGTAAATTATCGCATTTTTTCCGTGAAGAGAGATGCAGTGGGAAAATCGACCACGCATCTGTAATGGGCGACGAATGTTGTTTTTTCTCTTCTGTTTAGAAATTTCTTTTGCATTTTGTTCAGTTTTTTTTTTTTTGCGGTTGGGGACACTGGGGAATTTAAGGATCGTTAGCGTGTTTTGACCCTCGGGAGATTTAGCTGAAGCACGACCGTCGCATGGCCTTGCAAGAAGAAAAGAAGAAAAGAATGTTGGTACAAAAAGAACGAGGGGGAAAAAATGGTAGTCATCAGTACTCCGAATCTCAGCTGGCACTTGAGTACACAAGGTCAGGAAGGCGACACGAGAGTAAGCTTGCGGTTGATCTGATGGGTAAATCGTATCGCTGCCTCGTTCAAACCGTCTCGAATTATCAGCACTTGGAGTAGCATGATGAAAACCGTTCGCCAGAGCTGGATGTAGCGAAAGGCCCCGGGACCCGAAGCCCTTTCGAGTAATTAAGTAGCCGGTGTCTTGGCATGGACGCTTGTACGCAGATGCTATTTTGCGAAATTGTTTTGGTGGGCGGTCGTTAGAGCGATTTGGCCTGAGATTGTGTTGGCATCCATGTCATCAGTAATACTTGAGAGAGAGGGTAGCCTATACCCGGCAGCCATTGAAGGATTTGTCTTTGGTGGTATTTGATCCAGTTTCTTTACATTGTCTTTTGTTAACATATTGGCGTTAAGAATGACCTAATGCTGAACACGGGATCTCGGGAGTCACTTTATCAGCAAGTAGACCGCATTGTCCAGTACTTCATTGAGTGTCGTCCTACAGCTTGCCAAGGTAAACTCCGCAAGGCCGAGCGCGTCCCCGGCTTCTGCCTTCTCGCCTGCATACAAGGTAGGAGTCAGGGGGTAATATGACGCTCGGACGCTCTTGGCACCCCACCCATCTTCAAGGCTGTGGTCGGTCCTCCATCCTGTAAGGCGAGGAGCATCCTTCCCGCCCCGGTCAGAATATTGCAGAGGCTCATCTCCTTCTTTCGGCCTTTGATATAAGCCGTCTGCGAGATTGATTGCCAACTGTACTTCATTTTTAGTCCATGAAGGTTAAGGAACCCTCTGTTATTTCTGCAGAACTGTTTTTTTCGTTTTTATTTTGTTTACCGAGATCGGCCAAGCAAGATATTCCACTGCGTCTTTCATCTCTCTCTCTCTCTCTCTCTCTCTCTCTCTCTCTCTCTCTCTCTCTCTCTCTCTCTCTCTCTCTCTCTCTCTCTCTCTCTCTCTCTCTCTCTCTCTCTCGTTTTCCCTCCATCTTCCCCGTTTCCACATCGCTTCTTGTGAGGTGACGGGTGACTGACGTCCTTGGTGTACATTTTCTGTAGAGAAAATCTGTCGCAGCGTTGTTTTATAAGGGGTAATTCTCGAAACACACTCGGCGGCCGCGCTCGTAACGGTAGACGACGCGCAGGTTGCATCTGAGATATTGCCGCTGCGAATAGCTGGGGCATCAGATAGGCGGTGCCGTTTCCCTGCAAGCCCACCCATGCCCCGCCCATTCGTGTCAGTGCCACGCCTCTTTGCGCCTCGCACGTCGTCGTATTTGTTGCTGTATTTTATTATCAGTATGATTATTATTTCCCACATGCGTATTTTGGCACAACAGGGGCTTCAGATGGACAAAATAAAACCTCCAAGAGGAAGACTCTGAAAGGTGTTCTTTGCCGCTCATGACACTGGCCCGAAACAGCCGCGTAGTATTGTTAGATGGCGTTAGACCCATCTGGTTCTCGTAACCGTCGTTAGTCCTCGGGACATTTGCTCACCTATTTTTTTTTTCTTTTTTCTTTTTTTAGTTTACGAGGAAGGAGAGGGAGTGGGACATATTTTAGGTGCTAGAGGTTGAGGGGGCAGAGGGTCGTCCGCGGGAGGGGGGGGGGGGGAGCTGCGTTCTACCTAGGCCTCGTAGACAGAGTGCAGAGGCAAGGGCACAATATGATGTGGGCAGCAATGACACGCGGCGGCAGGGCGGGAAAGCCGCGACAGTTCAAGAACAGAAAATCTTGGGGTATTGTGGCATTTCTTTGATTCATTATGGCAGGTGAGATGGTCGGGAAGTTTAGGCGGGTATGCGAGGGGTATTAGGAGCCGGAGGGAGGCCGAGGTAGGGTAGTGGGTAAGGCATGTCTGAAAATAGCTTTCAAAGTTTCCCATCTCCCCTTCTTGCGTCATCTTTCTCGACTTAGTTCGTGGATCTTGGGAAATCTGTGTCGCGACGTCTCATAACAAACTGTTTTTCTGTTAATGCTGAAACAGTCCGCGCTTGATTTTAATTTTTTTTCCCACGTAGTGGGAATTAGCTGTTAAAACCTTATGGAGGAAAAAATGGGATCCCGGGAGGCGGTTCGTCTAAGAAAAAAATAATATAAAAGACACCTTGAACTTCTGATGGCAAAGCCGCGTCGCCGACGTATTGTACAAAAAAGATCACCAATGAATTGAAATGATTGGCGATCTACTTTAACACTGTCAACGTGGCGATCTTGGGAGACGCCGGCTACCGGAAATGGTTCGCGCACTCGAATTATTGGGCCCACACACACTCGCACCGACTGTCTACTCGCCGTAATGTCGGGAACGGCCCACAAAATAGAGGGTAGTTAGGTAAATTATAGTAGTGAGAACCGGTAACGTAGGCTGTGCCGGCCGGCGTTGCGGATGAATGCGGTAAGATTTGTGGGGTGAAGGGGGGGAGCGGGGGCGTAAAGGTGACGTTGTAGTAGTACTTTCCCGTTGTAACGCCTCCCCCCTCTTCCTTTCGTGCCCTGTCCTTCGCCGCATTTATGCTTCAGGCCTACCGGAACTGGACACCGGAAATCCTCGATTTGACACTTTCCCGATTCGGCGAATCACATGGTGCTGCGCTAGAATCAAAAAGAGGTATAGCTTCAGTTTTCTGTGATAGTATTTATTATGGCTACCAAATTAACGAAGAAGCAATGGGACTAATCCTGAAATGTCATTAGTCAAGTCGATGGTGATCAGCAATAGATATTTACGAACTGTAGACTTCGGTTCGGGAAACGGGGAAACGGAGCATGTCTGACGATCCGGCACTGAGGTTACACCGAATTGACGTGATATCGTAAACTGCTGTACGGTGTTTGGACAGACACCATAAAACGTAACCAGTATGGTTAGGTGTCCGAGTGAGTGAGTGAAGGGAAAAGAATTCTGATATCTAATTAATCGTCATTTTGATCTTTAAAGTCTTTAAGTCGAGGTAGAGATGATAAGGGTACGTCTGCCTCTCAAGACTGAGGTGAGTTCTGACATGTGACTCGGGATGCTGGGGATGCCTTCATGCTCGTAAGTGACAGCAGTTGCGTCGCCGACCTCACGGACCGGGAAGTGTCGCAAATAATGACTATTTGTGGATCCTGAAATACGGGTGGACGTACGAAGACGGAGGGAAACAGATGCGTGCGACGAGATGGCTTGGGCGGGAGACTGATTAACCCAAGGCACCTCTGTATTCGCAACAAAGAACGAGATAAACTGAAAATGAATACACAGTAGGCATTATTATCTGAAGGATATTCTTTTGGCTAATCTCCGACACGAGGAATAGTTTGATGTCATTCTGGCGTGAAGCACAAGGAGGCACATTTCAGTGTGAACTTTGTTCGTAAACCACGCTTTCGCGTCGGTTTCAGACGCCAGGAGAGATAAATATTGCATGCAAGATAAAAAGAATTCTTGCGGCTTGGAGGAACAATACACTATTTTTACCGCCTCTCGCTGCTCTTGTCGGCCCGATATCTGGTCGACACGTTGCCCGCGGGAAGCGATGCAAAATCGGTTTGCCACCCGGAGAGTTTTGATTTTGGGAGAGGGAGACGCAGAAAGGTAGGGCGTGGACGTGGGCTTGATTTGCGAGATTTTGGTAGCCCACGTGGCGCTAAAGCGGAATCGTTATAATAAAAGTTAGGCTTGGTAATCGACGGCATTCGAAACAGTGCTGGCCTGTTTATTGAGGAAAGACAGGCGCTCTCTCTCTCTCTCTCTCTCTCTCTCTCTCTCTCTCTCTCTCTCTCTCTCTCTCTCTCTCTCTCTCTCTCTCTCTCTCTCTCTTCTCTCTTTCTTTTTCTCTCTTTCTTTTTCTCTCTTTCTTTTTCTCTCTTTCTTTTTCTCTCTTTCTTTTTCTCTCTTTCTTTTTCTCTCTCTTTCTTTTTCTCTCTCTTTCTTTCTCTCTCTTTCTTTTTCTCTCTCTTTCTTTTTCTCTCTCTTTCTTTTTCTCTCTCTTTCTTTTTCTCTCTCTTTCTTTTTCTCTCTCTTTCTTTTTCTCTCTCTTTCTTTTTCTCTCTCTTTCTTTTTCTCTCTCTTTCTTTTTCTCTCTCTTTCTTTTTCTCTCTCTTTCTTTTTCTCTCTTTCTTTTTCTCTCTCTTTCTTTTTCTCTCTCTTTCTTTTTCTCTTTCTGTCTTCCTCTCTATCTTTCTTTCTTCCTTTTTATCTTCCTTTTTTCTATCTTTCGCGTGTTCTCTTGCTCTCACTTTTTTCTTTTCTTTTGTTCTCTCTCTCTCTCTCTCTCTCTCTCTCTCTCTCTCTCTCTCTCTCTCTCTCTCTCTTCCTTTCTTTCACTTTTTTTCTTTTTGTTCTTTCGTTCTCTTTCCTTCTACATTTCTACTTCTCTCACTCCTTTCTCTTCTCGTTGTTATGCTTAGCAAGAATAGATGAATATAATGAAAATGTCTCATGGCCGCCAAGTTATGCATATATGCGGGGTCCTCGCGGCAAGAAACGAAAGAAGCCAGCAAGGATGTATATTTTGCGCCGTCGGGCTTTCCATTCCCGGCACGAGGGGCGTGGAGGCGACTGGGGCGGAGCCTACGGGGTCTCAGGGAGCGGCCCCTGAACGCGGGGGAGGAAGGAAAGAGGGGGGGGGGGGCGAGGTCTTAAGTGGTGCGCCCCCCTCGCAGGTGATACAGTCGTCGCCGAAACTGCTCCCCGTCGTCACCACCAACCTCCAGTCGTCTTCTCGCCTCAAACATGGACTCCAACGCACAGCAAACTCCCGTCGCTGAACAGGCCGTCCCCCAGCCCACAGAAGAGGCTCCAGCCGTTGAACAGGCTCCTGCGCCTGCAGTGGAGCCGGCGGCTAAAGCGGAAGAAACTACGGTATGAGTCCTGTGATCGGAGGTCTTTGGTGGTGACTGCGATGCGTTATTGAAAGTCATTTATTCATGTAGTTCATTTTAAGCGTGCGACGAAGGGACGGTGGTGATTTGAAAATTACCGAGATCGTTGAAAAGGCAGTCCAAGCTTAGTGTTCTATTTTTTAAATACTTGTTCAACTGTCGTTTTTTATACGTTTACACATTACCATGGTCATTTTGCCGATATCTGATTCTATGTTCTACAGTACTTTTGTAGTAGGACTTCTGAAGCGATTTTGAAATTGGTTTTACCGAGTGATCTGATTGTAGAATTGCTAATAATACCTTTAGAAAGACAAGGGATATTTGTGTCAAAGCTTGTCCGAAATTATAAGATTATTGAAATTATCGATGTACCCCTGAAATGATCAGTCTCGCTGCTCTTGTACTTTGCCGTTTCAAAAACCGTGCTGCATCGTGCTATTGGGGAACTTGAATGCCGCGGCCGTGCCGGGAGGACGCGTTTGCGGCTCTCGTTGTC